TGCCCAGCCCTCAGCTGTGAACTGACTGAGCTGACTTTAAGCTTGGGACGGATGATGTGTGACCATGGGGCCATGCCGAGGGTCACTCCAGCCCTCCTCCCTGTGTCAGTATAGCTGGTGTGGATGTGAGGGCAGATTCTGGCTGCATCTGGGCTTTGCTCTGGACTGCATCCATTGTGCTTGGAATGGCTTGGGCAGCCTTGCCTTGTGCCCAACAGGACCCATGCATGCGTGGAGAGGCAGTGAGGGAGGCTCTGCCAGGAACACAGGGCTGGACTTGCTTCCTGACTGCACCACTGGGTTTGGAGGTGGCATTTGGAGAGTGCAAGGAGCCTTTGGACAGCTGCACAGAGCAAACTTCAATGGCCAATCCTTGGTATTAACCTGGGCTATTGGCCAAGGATGTGGCAGCACCTGAACATTCTGAGGGACAGGCAGTAAACCCATCTCATTGCTGAAGGCCCTTCCATCTCTGCAGCCCTTCCTGCTGGAAATCCCTCATCCTTTTGAGTGGCAGGAGGCTCAAATGGCAGTGAATGTATCCAGGATCCAGTGGATCCTGGTGGGAAGATCATGGCTATAGGGGATCCAGGTACAAGAAGAAATACTTCAGCACCAACTTTCAAGCATTGGGTGGATGTCTGTTCCTCCGTGAAGATGCTCTTTCAGGTCAAAGGCAGATGCTGAACTTCCAATTTATCATAGAATCATAGAATAGTAGAATCACAGAGTCACAGAATCACAGAGTGATTTAGGTTGGAAGGGACCTTAAAGATCATCTAGTTCCAGCCCCTGCCATGGCCAGGGACACCTTCCACCAGACCAGGTTGCTCAAGGCCTAATCCAGCCTGGCCTTGAACACTTCCATGGGTGGGATGTCACATTCACAGCATCTCTGGGCAATCTGTGTCAGTGCCTCACCAAGATCACAGTAAATAATTTCTTCCAGATATCTCATCTAACCTCATCTTCTTTCACTTCAAAGCCATTCCCCATTTGTTCTTTCAAAACATGCCCTTACAAAAAGCCCTTTAAAAAGCCCCCTATGAAAACTAATATGAAATTATATGAAACCAATGTTCTGAGCAGAAATCCCTGGCAAATGACCATGCTGGAGGGATGAGTAGATGCTGCAGGACCCTTGGTGTGCCTGGGCTGGATTGTGCTTGGAGCTGGGCTCTACTCTATTACTTGCTGCTGGTTTCCAAACGTGCAGTCTCTGCACATCTCTCCAGTGACGTGCTGAGGTCCCACACCAGTTCCAGAACCCCCCTCTCCATGCTGCTGTGCATCACCAGAAGACACAGGCAGGGCTGCAAAGCAACTTACACTTGAAAGCTCACTGCCCCAGTACCAGCAAAATTGAGGTGTGGATGTTGGTGGGAAAGCACAACCTCCATGCCTACATGATGATCTGTGGCTTATCCAGGCTTGCATATATATTTTTTTTTAGAATGTGTACAAAGCCAGACTCAGCAAAGGCACCTGGTCTACACCAGAGCTCCTGTGCTATGTCCAGTACCAAGCATCACAGCCTCATAGGTGCCCAGCCAGATCTAGTGCTCAGGTCATCCTCTAGAATGTCAGGATGTTTGGGGGACTGAGGTGTTTGTAAGGCTTTCCCCCTAAGAAAGGTCCTTACAGGATATTTCAGTAGTGGAGGCAGAGGAGTAGGATGCTCATTCTCTGTGTATTATTTGGTGACACATTTTGTCCCAGAGGATGATCCCAGAAGCTGAAGAGTCTGGGAAGATTCCTCCAGGCTACAATAAAAGGGCTTTTTCCAGATGTCTGCTCCAGGCTCTTAAGGGTGGGCTGCAGAGGCACACAGCTCCTTCATGCTGCAAAGCCTTTGAGCACAGGCAGCTGGTGGAGGGAAGCTGAGATGGAAGAAAGATCCCAGTGCCAAAGATTTGGGTCTGTGTGTTACAGCAGCAAGACTGGAGATTCCCATGGGCAGGGCCAGGCTTTTCAAATATGCATTGTGCAGGTTTGTGTTCTGAGGGAAAGCCATCCAAAGACCACTTCCTTCTACTTTGGCCATAAACTCTCTTCCCCTCCCCCACCACCTTTTATTTTTTCAGCAATCTACAGAGCTCTTTACCAAGTCAGGTGTGGCTCAAAAAAAAACCAAGTTCCCTGCACTGTGGTGAGTCTGAGGCATAGGATGCAAAGGTTTATAGCCAGAGGAGGTTACCATTCCCACTGTGGATTTTCTCAGCAAATGTGAGTGTAACCTTGTGTGAAAGAGTCATGCAGATCACCTTGCTTCAGTCTCAAAGTCTACAGAGAAAATAATTTGCATGGAGTTTGGTGAACCAAGCAAATTCAAAAGGCTCTGCAGAGCCACCTTGTGCCCACCAAAAGCATCCTGGAAGAGCACAGCAGTCCAAAAGCAAGGAGTCTGAATAAAATATACACAATTTATTTATTTATAGGAGGTTTACAGCTGTACAATGTTGACTTTCTGTTCCAACATTCTCTGATCTCGTGCAGCACGACACGTCAGTGCCTTTGGAGATGAAGACAAGTCACAGCCTGTTTTAACAGGCAGATATCAAAAAGAAATGGATCTCACAGAGTGTAATGCCAGGCTGCTTGCAACCATTGAAATGATTAACAAAAGAAATGTGAAATAAATCAGACATGTGTCCTATCCCACTCATGAGGGATTGGAAAGTGTTTTTTTCAGATCTGCCCTCTTCTCAAAAAAAAAAAAAATCAAAAAAACTCCCAAACCCCCTGAATATTTCTGTTCACTTCATTCAAAGAGAAAAGGCTTCAACAATAGGAATGGTAATAATTCCCCTCCCTCATCTGCTCTACAAATAAGAGAAAAAGAAGAGTAAGAAAGGTAATTTTTGTTCTCCCAGTGGAAATGTAGGGGAAGAAGGCTTCTGCTTTAACTTTTCCAAAACTTTTTTCTCATTAAAAAAAAGGACAAATATTACTTATATTAAGACAATTTGGTCCTGATATAGAGTGATTTTTAAAGAAACTATTAAAAAGCTGCCTTTCCTCTCTTTATGGCTTGATTCTCTGTAGGGAGGAAGGAGGTTGCCCATGGGTCCCAGGGCACCACAACTTCTTGGTGAGCTTTGGCACTGCTCCTTGGGGATCATGGTGCCATTTGGCACATGGCAGGCCACTCCTGGACAAACAGCTCTCCTTTGCTGAAGCTATCCATAGCCTGCTTTCCTGAGAAAACAAGGCTAATGCAGGCAGGCTGGACACCTCCATCTGCTGATGATGGTGCAAAGCTCCTGTCATGTTCCTGCAATGCTAAATAGCTCATCCCCCTGCCAGGTGAGGTATCTTTGGGCATCCCTGAACATAAGCCTGTGAGATCTTCTCCTAAGACCCAAATCACCTTCTAACCATACAATCCTGCTTCCATTTATTTTCAGTGATGAATCTCATAAACAAAACCAAGATAAAATCAAAGCATCTCTGAATTGGTCTTCCTAAATTCAAGGATTTGTTGTGACTATGGGATCAAAAAGTTGCTTTACCTAACTAGGAGCATTTAAGAAAATTCTGCAAGACACTGAACCAAACTTAGTCCCAGTAGTGGCACCTGGAGTTGGAGGGTGCTCAGTGCAAGCCAGGAGTGATTGAGCTCTGTAAAGAGCACCATAGGGATCACTGCTTGCTTTTAAGTCCTGAAAAACAAGACCTAAGAACATAAGTAAATTTGGTAAAAAAGCAAACTCTAAACTGCAGGACTGTTAAGATGAGGAAAGGGGAAAAGCAACTCGCAAAAATCAATGCAGTTGCACTGTTTACTTCTGGTTACATCAAGAACTGAGCTAGCAGGTACTTTGGAGAACACTTCACCATGTTTCAGACCTAGCAGACCTTTAGGGACTTTTAAAAAAGCCCAAACAGACTTGCAGGACAAACATGAGTATTTAGTAGGACAAGCAGAAACCCTTTGCTATAGAAAAAGGCTTTCCTGTTCACTTTTGTTGCAGGAAAAGGACTCTGCCCAGGTCAAAATTTAGGAAGAGTCAAAGATTTTATCTTATGCATTACTTTCCACTTGCATGCAGGTGACTGCAGAATATTTGCTTAGAAAATGTGACTGAAAAATCCCTTAACTTGCACCACTTTAAAGGCACATGAATAAAACCCCCAAACAACAGGAGGGAAAAAAAATGGTTTGAAACTTGTCCTAGTCAGCTGCTGAAAGGTCAGACAATGGGTTGTTGTTTGGTTTATCTGGGATGGTTTATAAGAAGCCAGATTCTGCCACCCAGTGGAATAAGGAAGATTAATCCAGTTTTCACGGAAATCAGGAGCAGACCACAGCCCCAGCTAAATCCCCAAGGATGCATTTGGGTTGTGCTCGTGACACTGGCTCTAGGACTGTGCAACTCATCCTCCACGATAAGAGACTGGAAATTAAAGGTGAGAGATGGACACTGGTATGAATTAAATATTCCCAGAATTTTCAGGCTGCACTGGGAGCAGTGCTCCTCTAGTACAAGCTAAAATCCCACTATTTTTAAAAAGAATTTGAGAAAGCGAGGCACTGAGAAATGATGCACTGTAGGCAGCAGTACAGATGGAGCCCATGGAGCAAAGCTCTCCACCTCTTGAACTTGACATTTTGGCCTTCAGAGTAATGAGTTTTCTCTTGCCTAAACACTGAACTGCCCCAGCAGACAACCCACCCCAGCTCCTGGGGTGAGCTCTTGGGATGGGGAGGGCATAGAGACAGCAGGCACCATGGGAGTACAGGAGACACCCACAGGAGCTGGGTCCAGACTGAACCAGAAACTTGGCCCAGAGAACAGTTATCCCACCACAGCTGTTGACATCTTTCTATACCTCAGAGTTGTGTGGGGCTGAACAAGACTTGGGTGGAGACAGCTTGTCCCCAAAATGATGGAGCCTTTGGTCTTGTTGCCCCTGTGGATTTGGGCTGCCTTGGTGCATTTTCCTTGCAGTTGCAGTATGTAAACTCATACCCAAAAATCATCCAGCAGGCTGCGATCTGTTTGTCCAGTTCTCCTTTGCTGTGGTGCCTCCACAGATAAATGATTACATGGCAATTTCAGGGGAGACAACTCCATGCACACTACTCTTAACCCAAGCAGACACACTGAAGATGCACTGAAGCAGCTGGTGGAACCGTGGTGGCCACACGTGTGCGTGGTGGCACGTGTGTGTGCCAGCCTGTGTAAACAAACAGCCCCAGGGCATCGTGCTCTGGCTGTCAGGACACACAGCGTGCTCACAGCGGTCCCACAGCGCACGTGGCAGCCAGAGGGCAGGGAGGGCTGCAGAGCAGAAGGATCATTGCGGTTCCCCAAAAAAGGCACCATTTTTTTAACATTGAAAACACAAGACTGGCTCCTTGGAGTGGAATGCATGCATGGTTCATATACACTTTGCAGATGGCAGGTAGGCTCTGTGTTTCTCTCTCTATATATATGTATATGTATGTGTGCATGTTTATATTCACATATGTGGCACCAGAAGAGTCATCCTTGAGTACTCAGACATTAGTGAGGATGTTACTGCTGAGGAGCATCACAGCAATGGTTCCAGGGAGATCATTTGACCTCCTGTTCCCCTTGTCCTGGAGGTGCAGTGTGTGCATTGACTGCCGGTCGCTGGGATCCCCTGTGAGCGCCACTTGGCCCAAGAACTCATCACTTATCAAGTTGTGGTTCCAGATCTGTGGAAACAAAACAGGGATGAGGGCAGCTCCTTCAGGGATGCAGCCAGTCTTCATGAACTGGAGAGAAGGGGTTACTGGGGACATGCCCTGAGCTGAAGCCAGGGAGGTGGTGAAGTGTGGGAGTGTCATTCTGGTAGTGAGAGGGGTGAAGGACACAGTGACATTTACCAGATGTCACCGTGGTGGTGAGAGGTTGAGATGCATAACTAATGATGCTCAGCCTGGGGAACAGATCTGCTGTGGACAGTGTGAGGAGAGGGAGGGGGGCTCAAGTGAGAGAGGGTCTCCATCCCTCAGCCCACTGTTGCCTGCCAGCTACCTGAACAATGATGGGTTGTCCTGGCTTCTTGCGGTAGAAGAGCCCTTTCACATCGAATTCTGGTGATACCGTGTTCTTCTTCACCGGAGAGCGAACCTTCTGCCCTTCACACTTGATGATCACATAAGGATCAGCTCCTGAGGAGAGAAAAGAGAATTTTTTCTTTGTTGTAGCTTCTGCAATTCCTTAAGAGTCCTTTTCCAAGAATGTAATGCAGTACTTTGCCTCCATATCCCACCAGAGGAGATGGATATCTGCCAAAGGGTTTGTCACACCCCAGATGATGTCCGTGGAGCTCAGCTGTTTGGCTCAGGTTTAGTTCTACTAGGTGACATTGTTTCTGGTTCTAATGAGCTGCTATGAAGCTGGGGAAGGGTCTGGATGGAGCACTAGTCTGATAAGGAGCAGCTGAAGGAGCTGGGGAGGCTCAGCCTGGAGAAAAGGAGGCTTGGGGGGACCTTATTGCTCTCTACAACTCTCTGAATGAAGGATGTAAGGAGGTTTGCTCCCTGGAAACAAGCAACATGATGAGAAGGAAGGGCCTCAAATTGCACCATGGGAAGTTTAGATTGGATATTAGGAAAAACTAATTCATAAAAAGGGTCATCAAGCACTGGAACAGACTGCCCACAGCAGTGGTACAGTCACCATCCCTGGAGGAAATAAAAAGATGTGTAGATGTGGCAGTTGGGAACATGATTTAGTGGTGGGCTTGGCAGTGCTGGGTTAAGGGTTGGACTTGATGATGTTAGAAGGCTTTTCCAACTGAAATAATTCTATGATTCTATGAAAGGGCTGCCTCTCTTGCCTCCATATTCTACAGGAACACTCCTTTATCACCCCAAACTCTTCTCCCCATTGCAGTAAATGTTCCATGGAGGAGATCATCCTACTCAAATCTCCTTTCAGCATTTGCTCTCCTAGAGGCAGGCAGAAATAAAACCATGGAGAAGAGAAAGAGGCTCACACAAGGAAATACCAGGTGGAGGATAAAATTACCAAGTTCACATATTACCAGCCCACAGTTGAAGGGGACCTGAACTTCCAGGAGAAGGAAAGAGTCCCTCATTAGTGAATACTTTCATCTTGCCAAACAAGTGCTTGTTTTGGGAATTTCAGTAGAGAAAGAGCTATTGCTATGGAAATTTAACTGCCAGAATGCATTTTGTTCCCATGAACTTTAGTGGCTGTGATGGAAACAAAACAGCTGGATGAGTTTTCTTGTCCAAGGGAAATGTGGAAATGAGGAGGAGTGAACAAGCCCCTTCTGAGGGCCAGGGATTTTGATTGCCAGACCACCTCTTTGCTAGATTTCTGTTTGTAAGGACTTGGCTCCCCTGGTGAGACACAGCTGCTGGATTTCATAGCTGTTTTTCCTTGTTCACACCTTGTCTTTTGGGATGTCCCATTAAATACTCAGATTCCATCAGCTAGAGCCAAATTCCTATTTGTAAATCAGTATTTCCAAAGTAGTGCATAAGGCCTGGCCTGGGATGCGTGAGAGACGTAACTGCACTGGAAAACACCAAACACACTGTTGGTGGTGGGAGCTGAACAGCTGGAAAACAGCTGGAAGAAAGCAACTCCCAAGGGTTTTTTGTGGAAAAGATGTTTTATGACTCCAGAATCCACATGTCTTCTTGTCTGAAGGAAAGATAAATTTCCTTGTTTCTGTGAACACTTCAGAGACCTTTGGTTACAGATTTCCCTTCATTGCTACAGGTGCACTGACCTGTTGTGAATAATACAAGAAAAATACACCTGCCTAGGGTTAAATTCCCTCTCCAACCATCAGATAGGGTATAAGGACTCCCTTTGTGGCATGTGATAAATAAGCATACTTGACTAGTCTTTGCTTAGAAAAGATCCTGCTTGTTACTTTCAGGGATATAGTGATAGGCAGCCCTGATAATAATTTTTGGGTGAAATGAAAAAGTATCATTTTAATTGGGTTTTATTTAGAGTTTTTAATTTTTCAATTTTTATATTTTAAATTCAGCTTGAAAATGTTTGGCTAAGTCTTGCCACAATTACCATATATCCTTGACTCAGGAAATGGGGGAGAAAGGCTAGGGTCTGGTCTATTTCCATGGTGGAAAGGTATTTGCTTCTCTAATCATAGCCTCTAGATGTTTCATCCCTTAGCAATCTCCTAGTACAAGCCACCACTACCACTGGGTTTCCTGGTCCAGAGGCAGACAGAACATGGGGCTCTTGCCATGTGTCTCTGTGTGGCTGCAGGACACAGGGGAGGTATAGTACTGCTGCTGTCTTCCATGCAGGAAAGTGACAGATGTCAGAATTGATCTAAATCCACACCATCCCAAAGTGAGCTAAATTTGGCATACCCTCTGCTGTTAAGATATTTATCCAACCCTCAGTAATGAATACCAACACATCAGGCTCTTTCTCTGTCCTTCTTACTAAGAAGCCCTTAAATACAGTTCCTGACTTTTACAGCTGCTCATACTTGGGAGGAAAGCTTGGGTTGTTACAGGACCTCTGCCAAGGGCTTTGGGGAAGTTTTGGGAGAGCCTTAAGTAACCTAGGTAGCCCAGATCATGTCCACTGCAAAAAAATATCTGATGATATAAATTCCAGCAATGTCCCACTTCAAAAATCACCTCCCAACTCCTCTGGGGCCAGACAACAGGCAGGGAAAGACCAGTACCTCCTTGGGAGTCCTCATTCTTGAGCCCAGCTGCAGCAAGGACATGGATCTGGGACACTACTTGTGGGTAGCCACACATCCCACTCCAGCAGGTGTGTGGTGGCTCATCCAGTGTCAGCTCTCTGCAAGGAAAAGCATGTGGCCTTTGAGAGGTGCCCAGTTTTATCCCAGAGCATTTGCTCTGGCATGATGATGGACTGTACAGGCCATTCATTTAAGTGTTGGACTCGATGATCTTTGGATGAACCTTGTGGACCCCTTCCAGCTCAGAATATTCTGTGATCTTGTGACTACACACTGCCCACTGTCACTGTTCCCCACTCCAATCTCCTCACTCCACTGTCCCACTCTGTTCCCCACTCCAATCTCCTCAACCTGGGTTTGGAGTGCTTTCCCATCTGGGAGCTTCTCTGCATGTCTGTGGGGATACCTGTAAAGATGTCCTGTCTCTTGACCACCCTCAACAGAAAGCCAAAGAGCAGCTGCAGGCAAGGCTATGACCATTCAGGAAAATCACAAATCAAAAGCACAGGGCTGTCTCCAAAGAGCCAATTCCCTCTCATCCCTGCTTGTGCTCCTTACCGGCAATCTGAAGGCACGTCTGTGAAAATCCTGAGAAGGAACTCGCCTTCATGACCAGGGTCAAAAGTGGTGGGGATGATGACGTAGCGGCCTTCCTTCAGGTCTGTCCTCAGGAAGACACTGCGGGAGTTGATGTAGATGGAGCTGGCCACCTTCTGCTGCAGGGTGTGCATCCGGTAGTTCCTGTTCAACTCCACCTGGGCAGAGACCACAGCGGGATGGTCAGTGGATTGACACTGGCTGAAAAGGTACTGATATCCATTGTGGGGGGGAAAAGATTGCAAAGACTGAGTCCACAGTGCCAGGAGACCTGGAGATAGGAGAACCAGGAAAAAGGGCCCCAACAGTGCTGGGTGGGAAACAAGTGTGGATGTGGCTTTCCCAATTCTTTTTACTCAGGGAGTCATCTCTTGCATCCCAGCTTAACATTGCGGACCCAGCAAACAACACATAAGGATTAGTCTAAGAGATTTCAACATTTGGAGAGAAAAGACTTAATTGTTCCTTTTAGCAAGAACTGCACAGAATCATAGAATGGTTCTGGTTGGAAAAGACCTTCAAGATCATCTGGTTTCAATCCCCTGTCATGGGCAAGGACACCTTCCACTAGAACAGGTTACTCAAAGCCACATCCAGCCTGGCTTTGAACATTTCCAAGGATGGGGCATTCACAGCTTTTCTGGTCTATCTGTTGTCCATACTGTCCCCTTTGATATCCCTCTTCCTCTCTAGAGGAGGGCAGGCTGTGCTGATGGCACCCCAGAAGCACCCTGATAATGCTTAAATGAACGATCTGGTCATGCAGGGCTGGTGTACCACTCCACAGCCAACAAATTTACAGTGGCACTCAGGCCAGCATGCAGGAGCCCCAGCCTACCTTATGGATATCAAAGCCTATGGCCAAGTTCTCTCCTTTGCCCTCTTTGCGACTGGTTCTTTTGGGCTTCTGCTGGATGGAAATCAGCACTTCATCTTCTGCCTTCTTCACATCAAACACATACTAGAAGCAAAGAGAGGAAGGTAAGGGAAATATTTATTAATACAGGCTCCCTGGGCATGGGTGGGGATGGATTTAACAGATCTAACATCAGCTTCTCCCAGTACACCTCCATGCAGGGACAGCCTGGCTTCAAAAGGCTAATACAGAGCTGGAAGCTGGAAACAACTCTCCCACATCCTTGATGGTAATTTCTGCAATGGACCAGACCACTCTTCCACTGCTTGTGAGATGAAAAACTCAAAAGGACCTGGCTTGTGATCATGAGAATCCAATTTCAGAGAGGACAAGTATGGAATTATTTATGTTGGAGAAGACTCCTAAGATCATCTAGTCCAACCCTTAACCTAGCACTGCCAAGTCCACAGCTAAACCGTGTCCCCAAGTGCCACATCCACATGCCTTTGAATGCTTCCAGAAATGTTAACTGTAGTGCTGCTCTGGGCAGCCTCTCCTAATGTCTTCACCCTTCCAGTAAAGAAGTTTTCCCTAATATTCAATCTAAACCTCCCCTGGCACAACTTGAGGCTTTTTTCTCTTGTCCTACCACTTGTTACCTGGGAGAAGAGACCAAATCCCATCTTGATATGCTCTCCTTTCAGGTAGTTGTAGAGAGCTATTAGGTCCCCTTGAGCCTCCTTTTCTCCAGACAAGTTTGTTCCAGGAGATGAACTTGAAGCTAGAAGGAAATGGCTCTATGGGCTACATCTGTCCTGGTAAATTTAACAGCATCAAAGTTTGGGCACAAAAACTGGAATTTGGTCATTCCAACATCCAGATTGTTGGAAATTACTCCTGGCCCTGTTTGACTGGAACCAGCCAACATTGCTACCCTGTGGCACAGTTTGTTTTTCCCTTTTGCCAAGATGCTCTAGACTTGGATGCAGTCTCCTTGATAAGAAGGATAATGTTAATAGAGTTGGCCTCGATGCTGGTCATGCTGTGCCAGAGAATTGCCATAAGCACAAATAATCTATTAAAGGCCTAGTAGCATTTCAGCCTTCTAGGTCCCTGTAGGAGAGTTAAACACTTGGAAGCACAAGTGAAGGTTCCAGAAGGTCCTCTGCTCCATTACTCACTTGGGGGTTCTGCAGAAAAGTATCCTTGTGGTTGATGCAGCCCCCAGAGCGGTTTTTCAAGGGGTCACTGCTTCTGGTCCATGCCCCGTGTAGCACTGCCTCCTCCCAGGTCTTGTGGATGCTTAGGTAGGAGGTGTTGATCAGACGGCACTTGATGATGTCCGTGAAGTATTTGCAGAAATCTTCAAAGGTCATCCTGAGTCAGGAAAGGGCAGAACTGGGTTATGTTGCTTCATTCCCTGGAAAGGCACACTGCAGGGATTTTCCTGATCACCTGTTAGAGATTGTGGGTTGTCTCTGATGGCTGATGAATAACAAAAGTCATTCATCAAATATCTCCAAAAGACATGGAGATACATTTCTTTATGCCTGCAGTAAATACTTCTTGAGTTCAAACAATAGATCTCTGCGTTTTGGAGTAGGAGAAGCAGCACAGTGGCTCTTTCTCCCCATAAAGGTAAATGTTGTACTGAAATATTCCCTGGTGAGGTTGTGAAGTTCAGCATATTTATGACAGGTTCTCAGTACCCTGGTGAAACGGTTTGGCCCCTGAGTGATGCAGAGCACCTTGCAATTTCAGGGTCATGGTCATCAAAAGCTAACACCCATGGGCTCAAGTAGGGAGCTTCACTAGAGATCCTATGGCTTGGAAGACTGTTTTCTCTGGATAGCTGTATGCATGGAGAAGATGTACATGCTCCATGGGGTGGGAGGATGCTGTGGTCATGGCCTGTGGTGACAAACCCAGGAGGGACTCACCAGAACTCTCCATCATCTTCTACTGTCATTCCCATCTTCTCTCTCTCACTTTTACTCACTTTCTGCCACTCCTCAGAGCTGTGGGAAGAGACCAGGATCATTACTCAGAGGTAAGGGACACACAAGAATTTGAGACACAAGAACTGTATAAAGCCAGTCCCTATGCTGCTCTGGTTAAGTCACCTGCCAGACATGGGGGAAGTGTAGCACAGCTTGGAACTTCCTACCTGACTGGTGGAGTTGAATCCAGTCTGGCAAGGTTTTATTTGGCCAGTACAATCACAACCCTAGCCATAAAGATAACAAAATTTACTCTGGCCAAAGGCTTTTGTTGCACCAGCTCTTGGTTCCTCATCTTATCCCCAGCCATCACAGCAGTTGGTGGTGGCAGAGGCTGATTCATGATTGTGTTCATTTTGATGGAATAAGACTGGGAGTACAAAGGTGACCTATGAACATCCTTCACAAGTATGAACGAACATGGAATCATAGAATCACAGAATGGTTTTGGTTGGAAAGGACCTTAAATATGATCTTATTATAATTCCCCTGTTATGAGTAGGGAAACCTTCCATTAGACCAGGTCACTCAAAGCCCCATCCAACTTCACCTTGAACACTTCCAGGGATGGAGCATCCACTGCTTCTCTGAGGAGCTGTGCCAGTTCCTCACTATCCTCACTATCCTCACAGGGAAGAATTTCCCACTGAAGCAAGCTGTCTGTCCCAACTCACGTGTCACTCCAAGGGCCGTTCCACTCCCGCTCACCCCACGGGTTGCGCATGCGGATCATGTCCAGCTTCTCCGACTTGAAGAAGGACAGAAGGCCATGGCCCAGACGGACCTTCCGCACATCCGTCACTGCATACGCGTGGCCCTTCACCAGTCCACAGGCCAGGCGAGCCTCCATGTCAGCTGCTGATGTGGCCTGGCAGGGGGATACAGACAGTGCTCAGACCAGGGGGACATGACCACCTCTGCAGGGGCTGGGGAAGAAAGCAACTCAGATTTCCCTGCAGATGTCTTTAAGCCAAAAAGAAGAACATCAATAGTCAGGGAGAAAGCCAGCTGGCACGTCTCAGATGCCATTTTATGTGCTGGATTCCCCCTTTTCTTCATTTGCTTCATGAGGTCTCTGAGCTCCCATACTGGCAACCGATAAAGCTCATCCTAATGGTTATGCTGGGAGGTCTGGCAACCAGCATTTGTAAAGGTGCCCAGATGCAGACACCAAAATGTCTCTCTGGAGTGGATCACCTCCTAGCATTTAAAGGGTGCTAGGATGAATGTGGGCTCTTGGACATAGCAACAAGGAATAAAGAGGGTTGACATTCAGGATTCACTCCTTTTGCCATCATCCAGAAATCGGAACCCTTGGCCACAATTTATCTGATCTAATTTACAAGTTTATGACTGTGTAAGATAACTGCATCCTAAAACACCTATTCCCATGGCACTGTGACCATACTGGTAATGTTGCTTACTTTGATGGAGCAGCTGATGAGGCCTCCCCTGTTGTGCACCTTCAGCACGCGCTCAAAGAGGAGGTTTCGCTTGGCTTCATCGGTGATGTAGTCCCCTTCGGTCAGGTCGATAGGTTCAGAGACCCCACCAGTGAAATCCACCAGGGCATCAGCTGTGTTGCCTCCATCCAGGGCCTCGTAACAGCCTGACAACCTGAAAGAGGGTGACAAGGGATGGCACAACACTGGCCTGACATTTTAAGGGGTCAGGGATGATTCTTGGGGCAACCTCAAGTATGGAGATTCGCAGTTGAACTTCACGTGGGAGAGGACAGCAAACTAGGGTGAAAAAAATAGGACCCACATTCCTTGCTGCACTCTTGCTGTCATAGGACCAAGGTAAAAGGAACTTGAAATCTCTGGAATAGGTGTTATTTAAAGAAACACTGAAGGGTATTTTGCTTTGAGGGTAAATTAGGGCTAGAGAAGGGGTTTTCTTCTTAGCGTTTTTCTGTTTATGTATTACTTCTCTGTAGGAAAGACATTGTTTCCACTGCTGCAAACTAGCTGGTGAATGAACAGAGAGGAAAAACAGAGTGCCCAAGCCCCCCTTTATCCTACAACTGCCTGGGTACCTACTTGGCATAAGCTTTCTCCACCAAGGCACACCAGAACTCATTCTTGGAGTTGGAGTGGCAGTAGATGAGCTGATTGTGGAGTGTGGGCAGGCGGTCATCGATCACCACATCCAGCCACTGACCAAAACGCCAGAACTGGAAGTGGAAGATACCCACATAGCTCTCAGGTTTCTCAGGGTTCCACTCCTGCTCCTTCCAGTCTGGGATGACCTGCAGAAGGAGAGGCACATATATCCAAATTATTCCTTTTTTTCCTGGGATTGACTTTCATCCTGGAACTAATGCAGACAATATCAAAGACAAGGAAGAATATAAAGGGGATGGACTTGCTTACAGTCTTCTGGGGCCAGATTTTGGACTTGGTTCTGCCAGTGCAGACTAGATTAACATGTACTGGAACAGCTTAGCCTTCACTGTCCCTTGAAGGTGGAGTTAAAGACCTTTGTTCTCTTTCTTATAACCCTTGGGCATCTGCTGCCATCTACTTCTGTAGACAGGCTATTGGAGCAGATGAGTTCTTTGTTTTACCAGGGATGGTTATTTTTATGACCATGTATTTTGTTTTTTTTTAATATCAGTAGGGTACCACTAACAAAGGGCACCTTCTTTGATTCTCCTGCTTGATTCTGGTGTGACTTGACTGGCCCAAGAGCAAGTGTGGTATTGATCTACCTGGCGGAAATGAACAGGCAGTAGATACTCTGCATGAACCTACTCTGTTAAGTAGAAGTAGGACAAGCAGGATCTCCATTCCCTCAAGGTCTCCATTCTTTCTTGCCAAGAGGTACCATACTCACCCAGGCAAGCACAGGGAGGTGATTTGATGAAAGAGGGAAAAGAAGGCCTGAATTGAAAGAAGCTCTAGTGCAGCTGAGGGGTCAGAGGAGGCACAGGTTTGGTGTCACTGCCAGCAGGACAGGCACAAGCAAAGGGGAACTGCCAAAGTCTGCAGCCCGTCATGGCTGCAGGCACTACCAGCTCTGCTTTGGATGGAAAATTCACTCAACAGCTGGGACAGAAATGAGCATAGCCAGCCAGATGCTACATGTAGGGGAATCTGCATCTTGTTTGGAACCAGGATACAGAGGCCCAAAGCAAGGAACTACCACACTGCTGTTTAGCTTTTGCTGAGGGTGGAGCCAATGTGGTTTTACTGCATGGCCAGGGCAGGGTGTGATACCACGTGTAGTTACTACAGCTGATGCTGACAAGTATGGACTTAGACAGCAGCACTAATGTGACTGACTGTCCCCACTCCTGCTACTTCACTTACCTGCTCCCAAAGATCTTGAGCTCAGTGATAAAAAACCCCAAGGTGTAAATGCAAGCATGCATTATGTTACTACGTTCCAACACACCAAATAATCACTTTCCTGTGAAGAGCTGAGCATGTTGGGGTGGGATAGGAGAGGACACAACTACATTGCATGGAAAGAGCCTCTTTAAGAAGTCACAAGACATGGTGAAACCACCTTTACTTTGTGTCCTTGTCCTGATGACAGAGCTGCCGAGCTGACTTTTTTTTTTGGTGGTGGTTTTTTTTTTTTTTTTTTTTTTTTTTCTGCTGTCACAAAGCAGGAATTGTGCAGAGAGAATTCCCTCTGAAAAGCCCCCTGACTCCTTAGCTACCAGCAATGATCTAGCCCAGGGCTCTTATTGCTCCTACACTGAAATATTAATGATGCCATCAGCCTGCAAGCTCATAGGCACTCTTGACTCATCTGGATCAATAGAAACAGAGCAGACAAAGCCATGAAAAAGAGCCACATTTGAAGGGTTTGGTGTTTAATAGGAGTGCTAACAATGATGTCCTAGAGTTCTCTCTGAAGACTGCCAGGAGATGTCAGCCAGTCCTCCATCAGTGCCCATTGATTCCCTCCTGACTGGAGCTCATCCTAATGAATTGTCATAGAGGGCCATTGTGATAATCAACTCACTATTAATGGAGGCTTAGAAATGATCCCAGCATTGATTAGAGGCATCTTGTCAGCCAGGGCTGGTAGTAGCAGCTTCCAGCTGGCTGGGTCTGAGACTTGCTCCTACTGTCACTGGTGGCAGGACACACAGGTCCCCACCATCCTCCTCATTTCCTCACCTGGGGACAGCTCTGGGAGCGCCCTCCATCACTGAAGGCAGCAAAAATGGTCAGCTTTCATCCAGAGCTGAGGGTCCAGGAGCAAAGACTGGTCGTTTTCTATACTGACCCAGGAGGAAATTAGAGGAGTCTGATCTCCACAGGTGTTCCCTGCTGGAGAGTATGCCATGGACCATCCATACCAGGATCTCAACTAGTCCTGCCCTCAGCTTGGTTCCGTGACACTGGGGCAGTGGAAACCACATTCTCCTTCACCCAGCTGTGCTGCTTTTTCCTTAGGGATTCACAAAATCTGGAGCTGTGACAAATTTAGTGTGACAAATTTACAGTGAAAGAGTTCAGAGATGGGTAAATTGGGAGCTCAAAAATGCCAGGTTCACATCCTTAAGCTGATTTATTTTTCAATTTTCTTAAGAGTGGCTAATTAAGAGAAAAGGCACCTGTGGCCCTGGAAAAAAATGTCCCTGATTAGAAGGAAAAATTGGTACATGTCAAGTTCTCCAAGGCTTCTGCTGGGAACTTGCCTATTCAGAATAAGGAGAAAGGCATCCAGCTGTACCAATCTGCTGAGCTGTGGTACAAACTGGGATGAAATTTCCCTGTGAGATGGGACAGGGTGATGTATTTGAAAATCTTTATGGGATGGTGAAACTGTGTAGGGATAGTTTCAGTGACTGGGAAAAAGAGGCAGAGCAGCAGAGAGGGAGATTGCACTTGTACCCTCACCTCCCTTTCCCAGTTCTGAAGGAAACAAGGATCCACCTGAGAATCATTTCCCCTTCTATGTCCAGCCTCAACTGCCTCTTGACCACAAAAAACCTACTCAATACTCCGTGAAGCCTTTCACACCAAGAGAGAAGAAAGTAAATATTCATCTTACATTTTACAGGAAGTTAAAAGGGGCTCAAGAATACCAGTATTGAGTTGAAATTTGGTGCTTTATTGTGTGCAGGATTAGGGCAGCTCCCAAAGGGAGCATGAAGAAGACACAGACAGCCTCAGTCCTTAAGGGGAACCCATTGTCTAGGTTTTTATTTACTGTGGTACACCAACACCCAGCAAGATATCTGCAGCAAGAACGCTGCCCTAGCAACGTAGCAATGGCATATTGTGAGACTTAGCATGCAATAACCACTTTGGATGTTGCCAGTGGTTCCTGTTCTTTGGTCTAAAGCAGTTTGTAGTCAGAAACTCTGCTCTGGGATGTACAAGGAGGGGTTTCCTATGGCAAAGTCTGCTAGAACTCTAGAGGTGTGTTTGGCCAAGCAGGGATGCATCCACTTTTCTCTCTACTCACCAAGTCCAGCATTTCTTGGGGTCTAAACAAAGACATCAACTTGTCTAGCAATGGCCATGGCATAGCTGTAGGATTTGGTGGTTGCTGGGCTTGGTTTTGGGCAAGACTCAATGCTCCCACCATCTCTCCAGCCAGTAGCTGATCTGCTTTTTTTCTCTTCTCTTCTCTGCCTGGCATAACTTGTGCATGTCATTTTATACACTATTCTTGGGCTGGGGAAGGCATAGGGTCTGCACCTCTGGTGGTTTTGGAGAAGAGGTTGGACTCTTTCTGGGGCTGGTCTGCATAAGTCTGCAGGCCACAAGTACAAAGTCACCTTGCCCTGGCTTTCCCATCACTGCTCTCTCCTTACTCACCTTGGGAGGATGCCAGGCTGCCCCTTGAGGAGTACTCACACACATTTGAGTGCAATCTGAGCAGAGGATCAACTATAATAATACTTAGCTCTTTCAAGGAACTTTTCTATCTGTGTGTCTCAGAAGCTCATTGAAGTACTCTCCACTTTTTGGTGGAGGAAAAGGAAACATCCAAACTTAGTAGTTTACTGCAGTCATAGGGCAAACTGGGCACAAAACACTTTCCTGTTCCAATACTTAAAAATGTATCACTCCCCTCTGCTCCTGTGGTCACCCAGACACCCTTCCCTGTGTTTTAGAGGGCAGGAGACACTGCTTTTCATGGACAGAAGCAGCAGGTTCCTGCTCTGTGGCTTGCAAATTGCTCTGTAGCCTCATGGCTCTCCAGAGACACTTCAGAGTAAATATTTTCATGGGTGCTTTAAGGACAGAACAAAGCACAAGTTAGCTCTGCTGCAGAGGACTCATTCCTGGCCTTGGCTGCTCTGAGCTGCTGGCTCTGCCCTCACAAGCACCCACACTCCAGCCCATCTTGGACCAAGAAATTCCACCCTCCCCCCAGCAAGAAATGATGGCAGTGGTCAGGAAAGGCTGGTCCAACCTCCCCATCAGTCCAGTGAGTTTACAATCTGCAGAACACAGCGAGTCCAAGTGTAGGTACTTCAGCTTCACAGCAAGGTGGATTCTCCATGGAATTGGTCTTCAGAGACTCCAAGCAGCCACAGCAGCAGCACAAGTCACCAGAACCTGCAAGCACTCAGCACCTTGCAAGGAGAGGAACTCCATCACAAACAAGCTCTCCCTTTTTAATGGCTAGGATGGAAACTGGAAAGCAGGGCTCTCTCCAGGGGTCCCTGCTAGTTTCTGGCATGACAATTACTTATTTTTCCAGTGGGTTTTTGCTGTGCAGTTCCTACAGTGAGAGGATTTAGGACAGCCTCATATTTCCGAGCCAGTAAGACCCTGCATGGATCCCTAATGAATTCAAAAGCATACAGTCTTATACTCCAGGCAAATGCAGCAGCAAGCTCATGGTCCCCTTCTCATCATCTAGACAGAGGGCAGCACATTTGGGGAATATTTCACAGGGTTGACGGGCTCCTGAAGCACTGAGCTGTTCTCTGCTTCACCATGGTGCTGTCTCTCATTAAAAAGAGAGAAAGAAAAAAACAGATATAAAAATGGACCAAAGAACTGAACTGAAAGAAGCATAGCTGGAGCGAGAAAAGCTGAGCAAGAGGGGATCAGGCTTTAAAAACAATGGAGCCTTTCAGCTGAGCTGGTTCGAGGCCGCCAGTGAAAGAGAGGAGGAAATACATCACCTTGCGGATCTGGGCTAGTTCTGCTATCCGCTCCCCAAACTCCTGGGCATCTGCCTCGTTGCACTGCACCTCCTCAGCCCCTGGCTTCTTCCAGAAGATGCCCACCGGTTCCAGCAGCTGCCGGTTCATCAGGTGGGTGAGATCAGGAGTCCAGTGCTGGGAGGTGCCAGTCACCGTGACCTTCCCAGGGCTCTCCAGCTGCACGTCCCAGCGGAGGAAGCGCAGTTGGTGCTGCTGGATGAAATCCACTCGGTAGATGTGCTCATTGGGACGCAGCAGCCTCTCGCCATCCTGGGGCCTCGTGTTTCTTTGCTGCAGGCTCTGGAATCGCAGCCGCATGCGCCGGGTGAGCTGCTCGTCGCAGGTGAAGGGCAGCTCAAGCATCCCTGCCTCAGCCGCCATCACCTTGGCTGCTGCTCTGCTCCGTGCTCAGCAGTGTGTGGCTCTCCAACAGGACACGCAGGGGGAAAGATCAGACAGGCCCCTGGAGCTGGTGTCCCTTCTCCACAGTCGCAGCAGCGCTAGGCAACCTGGGCCTGTGATGCAAAACACCTCTGGGGTTCCCCTGAGTGCCCTCCCGACTCATTTGCAGATTCAGAACTGTTGGTGCTGCTGTGCTCGATAATCTATAGGGAAGGGATGTCTCATGTCAGCCTCCCCGGCAACCTCCCTGACAACCATGGCTCATTATCCCAAAACAAAGCCAGGGATGCCACCTTGGCAGGGAATAGTGGCAGTGGCTTTCTCTGAGTGTAGGTTAATGGCTAATTCAGGCTAGAATGAGACTCTGGAGGAGTCTAGTCCAACGCACTGCTCAAAGCAGAACTTACTTCAGAGTTGAATCAGTAATGTTTCTCTGGGCTTCATGCAGTCCATCTTTGTGTATCTCCACGGACAGACGTCCCACAGCCACTCTGAGCGCTGTTCCAGGGTCTGACTGAACTCATGCAGAAGATAAGCTGTAGCTTGTGCTGCTGTCCTTTGTCCTCTGACTGTGCATCTCTGCAAGTGCCTGGCTCCACCTTGTCCACGCTCCCCTATCCAGGCTGGGTGGGGCTCTGCGCAACAAGGTCCAGTGGCAGGTGTTTCTGTCCATGGCAGGAGGGATGGAGCTAGATGACCTTTAAAGGTTCCTTCCAAGCCAAACCGCTTTGTGATTCTACTGTTAAGTATCTGCACACAGCAACAAGCTCCCCTTTTACCTTCTCTCCTCCTGGATGTACAAATCCACTTTCCTCCTGCCCATTTTGGTGGCCTCCATCAGGCTGTGCCATCCAGAGAAGGGCACGAGGATCCCAAGGGACAAGTTGACTATAAGCCAATGAATAGCAAACTAACATGACCATCATGCCCTTTTCTGGATGGCACAGCTGGCAGGAATCAGACACCACACTGCTCCTGCAGCAGCAAATCAGCACCAGCATCCTGGCATAGTTTTGCCCCCCATTTTAACATCTCAATTTCTTTTCATAAAAGCTAGACACATCTGAAGGGTCATAGATAGGGTGTTACAGAGCCAGACCACACCTAGAGCCATGTAGGGTCATGCAAGACTCAGGAATTTAGAAAACAGCTCTCAACTAAATTCTAGTACCTTATTCCCACTCAGTGATTCACACCACACAGGCATAATGGGAAGCAGGGCCATGGAGAAAGCAAAGTGGAAGAAAATGTTTGAATAAAATAACCTCCTGGGATCCACAGGGATGTGCTGCCCTGCCTTATTTTCTTGAAGGTATTCCCCCTTCCCATACTTAAGAGAGACACTGTGTGAAATGCAGCAAGGGATATGCAGAGCCTGTGTTACACCCTGGTGTACACCAGGAATATATTTTCTAGTAGCAATAGGTGATCTGGGCCAATATTCCTGAGCTGATATTTCAGAGATACTAGAGCCTGCATCAGCTTCTCTCAGCTCTTGCCAGACTCTAAATAGAGACATGTGATAACATTTCATGTGTAATCACACTTAGGACCAAGGGGCCCATTATTTCTGTCTCTGAGATCTTGAGCAAATAAGAAATTTACTGTGAGCATGGTGATTCACTGACACAAGTCTCTCAGAGAAGCTGTGTATACCCCATCCCTGGAAGTGTTGTAGACCAGCTTGGATGGGACTTTGAGCAATCTGATCTAGAGGAAGGTCTGTGGCAGGGGAGCCGGAACTAAGTGGTCATTAGGGTCCCTTCCAACCTATATATTTCTATAAATCAAACTTTTCTGAAAGAAAAGAGAGGACAGGTAAAAAAAAAAGCCTCTGAGAGTTAAAGCAATGGAAAATGAGAAGTCACAAACACCCACAGCCAAATTGCCAAGGGAGGAAAAGCAATGCCCAGCAAACTGAAATAATGAAATGTCCAAAGGGACCCAGCCTCTGTTTGGTTGGCATTTCCCAGGGCAGAGCTGGAAGTGAATGGTGAGGAAGGATAACAACTTGCCCACTCACCCTTGGGGGATGTTGATGGTGAGGTACAAACTAAACAGCCCTGTGCATCACCCTTGTAATGAGAGCACAGCAGTCACCACAGCCACCATGGCAGGAAGCCTTATTGCTTATCGAGAAGGCAATAACAGCTATCCTGTTCCCATATAAAGAAAAACCTTGATTTTAACAGAAAATGGGGATACTGCAAGAAATCTCTGAGCTTGGTCTTCATGCTCGCCACAGGAAGCAGAGACTGGAAGAACCACAGCACACAGAGCAGAGGTAAAGCTGTGGGGTGGAGGAAACTGTCTCAGACCTGTGGCTGTAGGAGGCTGTGGGTGAAGGAGTGGTGCAGCCTGCAGATACTGGCTGCCTTTTACAGTAAAATCTGGGAAAAGTTGCTCGCAGCTTGCTGGTCTCTTGCCCTGTGATGACGAAACACCTGCAACCAGAGGCTGAAGTCCCCCTGCCTTGGCTTTCACAGGGCTGACATCTTACACAGATGAGGCCATGGTGGAGATGGGCACAGAGTGTCCAAGGATGTGGCACTGAGCACCTCCTTCCCCCTGTACCTCCCTTCTTGCTCCCCAGGCCTGCAGCCCCTCGCTCTGGTGCAGCTCCTTGGTGGCTTTTTGGCACACAGTACTTTCCCCTTGGACCCCACACTTGCAGGAACACTGCCACATGGTGCCATCCAACCATGGGACATGCCAGAGATGGATACTTTGGGCAAGCAGTGACTTGGGAGAGATGCTAACACCTGAAATCAACCTGCCTGCCCCAGCGTGGGGTGGGTGTCTCACTGCCAAAGTGGAACACAGTAAACAGCCAAAGAGAGGGGGCACCATGGGAACAAGGGAAACAGGGCCTAATGCTGCAGCTGAGCATCCTGAACTTTGTTCTTCTTGTTCATTTTTAGATTATTTTGGAATTTGAAGGGTCAGCTTTGGGATCTGAAAAAGAGGATGGGATTTGATCCACTTGGTTAAAGAGAAACTGGCCAAGGGCTTGGCTGGAGTGTGGTGAATACTGTCATGATGACTAATGCCATTTGTAAGTTAGTCTTTTAAGGGAGATTTTTGCACATTATCAGATTTTCAGGACATGAGGCATCCTTGAGAACCAATCTGTGACCTGGACAAAGACAATGTAAAGCCATGATGTTGACAGGCTCTCCCCTGGCACGGGGAACCACTTACCTTCTGCCACAGAGACTCCCGAGATGCCAGGGAGGAGCAGGCAGCCACAAACCAGCAGTTCCCAACCTGGCCTTGGTGCAAGTCATGGGAGCTGATCCCATCCACAAAGAGACGTGGATCATTGCAGATTTCCTGTGGGACAGGAGAAAAACAGACACGCTGGCTCATTGAGCAGACAGGGAAATCAGGAGAGGGGCTTCTTGGCAAAGGAAAGTAATTTCCTCTCTTCCTCAGACTCCATGTAAACCTGACCTGCTGGCCTTGCTCATCAGGCTGGTGGCAGAAGGACCTGTCCTGCCTTCTGCTCTCACCACGACATGAGCAGCATCACAAGACCTACTCCCTATTGTGTCCCAGCACCAGTGCAGCTTTGTTATAATTATCCCTGTTGATAATGGTATAGTTTCACACCATTACAGTCCTTCTAAGTCGCCTTTACTCTGTGACTGTTTTACAAGAAGTGTAGCACAGCAGATCCTAGCACAACAGATTAAAAAGCCCAAAAAACGGTGAGCCAAAAGCTTTGTAGCTGGCGGAAGGATTAAATACTCATTCTGCCATCAAAACCAGGATGGTGGATTGTGCACAGACACTGTGAATGGAGAAACTTGGGTAGGAGGCATCTGGGAGGCAAGCTCATCCAACCATGCACCAAGACCATCAGCTTTTCTCTGCCTGACTCCTGCCAGGCTGCCCTCCCTGCTTCCCACTCCCACTTAGAGCCTGGCCAAGAAAGCACTTAAATAACAGAGGGTGTTGAGCAAGCTTCAGGTGACAGAGTGCTTTTTTAAAAATGTTTTTTTCCCTGCTCAGTCCAGTTTGTAAGTTCGCATCCAGCTGGAAGCTGGGAGCAGATAGGACAAAGAGCTCAAAGAACCTTTTCCGCCTTTGTTATTACATTTAATTTCAAGAGGAAAAAGGAAAAGCAGATTATTCTTCTTCCCCCACACCTCCCCATTTTTCAGGCTGGCAGTACCCAGAATAATATGTGCCCCCCACCTCGACTTTGCCTATAAAGTCTTGTATTACCTCTATCCATAGATTCATGGAAGGGTTTGGGTTGGAAGAGACTCTAAAGATCATCTAATTCCAAACCCTGCACTCTATCAGAGACCTCACCCACTCGATTAGGTTGCCTAGGGACTCATCACAGGGAGGAAAAACATAAGCACGTCCTGCTATTCCCACCTAGCCCAGCCAGCACCAAATACCTCGAAATTACCCTGACACTGGCCAGGATCAGAGCCAAGGAAAAGGACAAAAGCCCTAAATCTGGCGTTGCAGGCTGTTGGGAAGAGCGCTAGGGGGAGGCAAGCTGCCACCAGCAAAGGCAGGAGCTGCCTGTGCCTGGCACCGCTGAGCGATACAGGGATGGAGGGGAGCAGGTTCAGCTCCTGGGTCACAGCACCGGGAAGCACCCAGCACTGGGGATGTGTCTGGTGCTGGGGATGTCTGTGACATCAGCTCCTTGTGATCCTGCTCTTTCTTTATCCCATCTGAGGACCACGGCTGCCCTTCTGCCCTTGGGGGGATCTGCAGATCACAATAAAGGAGTCGCTTGGTATTACACAGACAGGTGAGAACACAAAATCATGAGAAACACAAGAGACACAAAATGGTTTGGGTTGGAAGGAATCTTTTAAAGGCCATCTAGTCCAAGTCCCTGAAATAAGTGGGGACATTGTTAACTGGATCAGGTTGCTCAGAGCTCTGGTGTGCAGAGCAGGGCTACCACACTTCCCTGCAGGAGCCCAACACACCACACTCAAGCCCTGGCACTGAGCCTGGTCCCAGTGGACTCCCAGTGATCCTAAGCACAGAATCACCAAATCAATGTGGTTATAAGGAATTTCTGGGTATCATCCACTCCACAACCTCTAATCAGCTACAGCAGGTTGCTCAGGACTGTGTTCAGTCAGGTTTTGAATATCTCCAGGAATGGAGACTTTGCAACCTCTCTGGGAAGCCTGTGCCAGTTTTTGGACCACTCACACAGGAAAAAATCTTTTCTTATACTTAAATGGAATTTCCTGATTTTCAGTTTGCACTGTGTCTTGTACTGTCACTGGGCACCAGTGAGAAGTCTGGCTCTGTCTCCTTCATTCCCAGCTATCTTATATTTATGGATATTGTTAAGATTCCCCTGAGCCTTCTCCAGAGTGAAGAATCACAGAATCATTAAGAAGACCTCTAAGATCATGGAATCCAGCCATTAACCCAGCACTGCCAAGTCCACCACTCAACCATGTCTCTCATTACCACATCTGTACTTTTCTTGAATATTTCTAAGATGGTGATTCCACTGCTTCCCTGTGCAGTCTGTTCCAATGCTTGAACACCCTTCAGTGATGAAATGTTTTCTAATATCCGAAAGATATTAGAAAAGGGAAGGTAGCATTGCCTCCTTGTTCTAATGCCATGGAAGTGATTCTATCAGGATGAGTCTCATCCATGGGTCAGTCTCCCCAGCAAAACCCCCTGGGAAGGTTTGCTGTATTCCTTAGACTGGAGGTTAGCAATATTAAATTACTTGGATTCTTCAGTCCCTATGGAAGATGCTGAGTTTCCACTCATACTTTTTGTATCTGATCTAGAATGTGTGGTCTCAAGCCACTGGGATGATATTCCCTGTATTCTGGCTGTAGTGAGATGGAAGACAAGGACCAAGGCACTGCTTCAGCCAGACTGCAGTGCCCCAGGATTGCATGGAGCACAGTGGGGCACAGTGTGATACAAAGCACACTCGGAGCCATGGAGCACCATGCCCACAGTACAGAGGTGACTGATAAACAAGATACCAGTGGGAACTAGGTCAAAAAGCCAAGAAAAGCTTTGGAACATTTAGTGTTTCTTTTCCTGTGATAAGTGCTGGAAGCGATAAGGAGCCTGTTCTGCAGCCAGATGGAATTACAGGGCCTGGGATTTGCATGTGCAAAGGGAGGAGAGAAGCAGAGATTCCCAGACCAGAGAAGATCATGACCTTGGTTTTCTACCCCACTTCCGTGCAACAGACAGAATCCAGGTGAGCAATAACATTTATCCAGGCAGCAAACACCACGTCACCCTTCCAGCACCGTGATCTTGAGAGAGGAGGGCGGCACACCAACACCCACACACACCCTGGAGCCTTCTGGGTTCAGGCTTCAGCCACCACAGAACTAGCTCAAACTGCATCTTGCTACTTGAGGCTTCAGCAGACAGGAACTCCATCCTGTCCTTCATTTATCACAGCCAGATCCTGGGTTCTGGCTGCTCCTAGTCTGGACACAGATGGAGAACAGGAAGGAACAGGGAAGGGAAGCCAAAAGCTATGGCTGCAGGGTAGCTATGGTTTTAACGTGTGGTTCTTAACTCTACGTTGGTCAAGGGAATCAAGGGAATCATCCATGTCTCTTTACCCCTAAGAAAAACCTGTCTTGGAGGATTCCAAGAATCACCGAATCATCAAGGCCGGTAAAGTCCTTAAAATCACCAAGTCCAACCATTAATCCAACATTTCCATGTTCACCACTAGATCATGTTGCCAAGTGCCACACCCTTATGTTCTTTGAACACTTCTGGAGATGGTTATTACAAGGATCCTAAGCATCATCAGAGATTATCTGCCCTCCTTAAAATTGTCCACTGAAATGCCTGCTGAGCTCCAGGCAACCAAACCAAATTTAGAGAAAGCCTGTGTGGATGGTTCTATGGAAAGATTCAGACTGATAACACAGAGAGGCCAAAGCTGTGATTTAAAGTTCTGGTGATTCATATCCTCCCTCCTCCAATGGATGTGGGACAGAGGTGGAAATCAGAGCCAGAGCAGGTCCCTGTCAATGAGAGGCTGATTGCAGAGATCTGACTTATGAAAGCCTAGATTGGGACAATTTGCCAATTTGCTCCCTCTCGTTTTGGGTTTTTCAAGTTCATTAAGGGAAAAAAAAAAAAAAAAAAAAAAAAAAAAAAAAAAAAAAAAAAAAAAAGACCTTATCAGAGCAATTATCTTGTACTCTTGCTCCTACCCAAAAGCATGTAGTCTTTCCCTCTGCTCTCCCTTTTGGGATACTTTTTCAAAAGGCACACAATTTTCTTCCAAATACATTTAAAGCAGAAAATACATTCCTCACCTTCTCCAGCCAGTCCAATTCCACACAGGGTTGTAACGAGAAAATCACTCTCTAATTTGCTTTAGAATTGGTGACTGTTTTACCATAAATGTTTCCTGGTGCAGGTTTCTGAGATTCAGATTCACTGGGGATCTAGATCATGTCCAACCAGATGTGTGGAGAGAAAAAGCAATGGCAGGAGGAGGAATAACCATGGGAGATACAACATCTGCTGCATGCCAGGACCATTTTTTGCTAACAAGATTTTGTAAGGAACAGACTAGTCTAATTTCATTGCAGAGCCTGGCTGCTTCAGAACAATGCCTTCACTCAGACTTGCAAAATCAGCAAAATAATCTATTAGCATGGCTGCATTCCCTCCCTCCCTTCTGAGGAACTGGGAACTGAAAGGATGTTGTGTTAAATGTCACTCACACAGACAAGAGGCCCCCAAGCATGGCAAGCAGCAGTGACACAGCAGACACAAAGGTCCCTGTGTTGCCCTGCTGCAGGTATCTGCAACTGGGATATGATTTTGCAAAAAGTGGACTTAATAAAATTTGCACCAGGGTGACAAAGGAAAGGGAAATGGGGTGAATTTAGAATACCAGCGGTCTACACTTTCAGATTGATTAATATAGGATTATAGAATCATGGAGTGGTTTGGGTTGGAAGGGACCTTAAAGATCATCTCTCTCCAACCCCCTGCCATAGGCAGGGGCACCTTCCACTAGACCAGGGTCCTCAAAACCCATCTAACCTGGCCTTGAACACTTTTAGGGATGTGGCAGCCACAGCTTCTCTGGGCAACCTGTGACAGTGTCTCACCAGCCTCACTATAAAAAAAAATGGTGTTGTTATATCTACTTTAAATCCATTATTTTTAAATTTAAAACCATTATCCTTTGTCCTGTCACTACAGGCTCTACTAAAAGCATATATACTTGGCAGATCAGCTTCACGCACCTGGAAGGAGGGTAGGCTTGGCTGAGAGTATCTACACCCTACAGAACTGTTTGTGGGGGTTTGTATTGCCTCAGTCAG